TTTTGAGAATTGTGAGTTTTTCCTTATATTATTAATATTGATTTTTTGTTGCTCATATTTAGGATTTTTTAGTTTTAAAAATAAAAAATGAAAATAATGAAAATAATAATTATTTACATTACATCTACTTTTATAATTAAATGAGATACATATGTTTCATCAGTATATACTGAGAAGAATATTTTACACTTTTCAATTGAATAAGAAGCAGAAACTAATTATTATTTACATTACATCTATTTTAATAATTACATGAGATACATATTTTTCATCAGTGAATACTATCTTCACATTTTTCAATTGAATAAGAAGCAGAAAAAGATAACATAAACATAGAAATAGAGAAGAGGACGTGCGAAGCCCAGGACGGCAAAAAAGTGGAGAAATGACCAAAATTTTCAAAGAGAAGCCCATAAACATAAAATGGGGAAAACGAAAAGGACGTGTGAAGCAGAAGAATGCATGAACAAAAGAAAAAAGGAATCATAGAACAAATCCCCAAAACAGAAGACAGTACATTCTAAAAAAATTCGATGGAAGGAAAGATAAAACTATCTGTAATATTTAAAAAACACATAGTAATAATAAGAATTTAGATAAATGAATTATATATTAAAAAATTGATTCAGGTATTAATTCTCTACTGCTACCAACATATATCATAGGTAATTGAGAAATGACTGAGTAATATCTTTGGCTACCAACTAAATTATTTGCATACATTTCAAATAATTTGGGCAACATCAAAGACAACAAAATCATTACTAACAATTACCTGATACATGGCAACAGAAGAAAAAAAATACTCCATCATCACCGGATAAGGTAAGAAGAAATGAGAAAAAAAGAATTAAAGCAGAAAACAATATGAGAGGAAAACTAAGGTTCGAAATGTTAAAGCCGACTTTTCAATTGAATAAGAAACAGAAACTAATCATTATTTACATTACATCTATTTTAATAATTACATGAGATACATATTTTTCATCAGTGAAGACTATTTTCACATTTTTCAATTGAATAAGAAGCATAAAAAGATAACAGAAACATAGAAATAGGAAAATAAATAGATAACAAATAAACAAAATAGAAGATAATACATTTTTAAAAAATTCGATGGAAAGAAAGAGAAAACTATATGTAATATTTAAAAAACATATAGTAATAATAAAAATTTAGATAAATGAATAGTGTATTAAAAAATTAGTTCAGGTATTAATTCTCTACTGCTACCAACATATATTATAGGTAATTGAGAAATGACGGAGTAATATCTTTGGCTACCAACTAAATTATTTGCATACATTTCAAATAATCTGGGCAACATCAAAGACAACAAAATCATTACTAACAATTACCTGATACATGGCAACAAAAGAAAAAAAATACTCCATCATCAAAAGATAAGGTAAGAAGAAATCAGAAAAAAAGAATTAAAGCATAAAACAATATGAGAGGAAAAGTAAGGTTCGAAATGTTAAGGCAGATAACAATATATATCCCAAATAATCTTCATATCTCTCAATTGAATAAGAAGCATAAACTAATTATTATTTACATTACATGTATTTTAATAATTATATGATATACATATTTTTCATTAGTATATACTGAGAAGACTATCTTAACATTTTTCAGTTGAATAAGAAGCAGAAAAAGATAATACAAACATAGAAATAGGAAAATAAATAAATAAACAAAACAGAAGACAATACATTCTAAAAAAATTCGATAGAAGGAAACATTAAACTATCTGTAATATTTAAAAAACACATAGTAATAATAAAAGCTTAGAAAAATGAATTTAAGTATTAAAAAATTAGTTCAGGTATTAATTCTCTATTGCTACCAATATATATCATAGATAATTGAGAAATGACTGAGTAATATCTTTGGCTACCAACTAAATTATTTGCATACATCTCAAATAATCTGGCAGAAACAGGAGAAGAAAGAAAATAAACAGATAAGGTAAAAAGAAATCAGAAAAAAAGAATTAAAGCATAACACAATATGAGACAAAAAGTAAGATTCAAAATGTGATGAACAATTGTAAACTAACAACGGTGATAAAAAATGAATAGAATGAAATAAATTATATACAAAAACTGTAACTAACAAATTTTATAAAAACTAAACCCAGTGATAACAAATAGGAGCAATAACTTTAACATTAAAAACTTACCTCCCGATAGTAACAACATAATCAATAGTAACATCATTATCACAACATAATAAAGTTAAGAGATAAATTTACAAATGAACAGATTCATATAACCGATCTTATCAATATAATAAATCCTCTAAAACAATAAAGAAACAACTGTAAAAATAAATAAATTATTACCTCAATTGAAGAAGAACAATAGAGAAGCAGACCCAGTAGGACAACTAAGAGTCGAAAACAAAGAGAAGCAAACAGAAAAATCCGCTATTGAAAACTGATCAAGGCAAAGAGATGAACCAAAAATCCAGGAGACAGTTACAATGAGAGTAGAACCTCAATAGTACTAAGATTTGTAAACGAAGGTATAAGAGAATGTATTATAAAAGTTGAAGAAGCAAAATAGTTTAAAAAAGAGAAACCGTAATAATGAGATAAAACACAATAGTTATATACAAAAAGAACAAATTTTTGATGAAGCACCGATAGCAATTGTTGGGAAAAAAATATCAACTAAGGTAATCATTAGTCAACAGGTGTCACGAAGCATGAAAACCACCGAGAAACCGAACGAATAATGAGCAGACAGTAAAAATTTGTGTTATATGAAATTACAGTAAAAAAATACGTGTCAAAACAATATTATACATACTATAACAATGTAAAAACTGTCTAGAAACTGAAAGAAACAACTATATCAAAAACTAATCCAAAAGATAAGGGAAGAAAATCATTGAAAGCGTAAAAAAAAGAGAAAAAAACATCAATAAATAACATTATCGACAAAAACCATAATAAAAAAGTAAAAGAAATAATTTTCTTTCTAGAAAAAGAAAAGAACAGATAAACATTGTAAAAACTATCTACAAACTGAAAGAAGCAATTATATTAAAAACTAATCCAGAAGATAAAAGAAACAAATCATTGAAAGCGTAAAAAAAACAAAAGGAAAAAATCAACCAATAACATCACAGACAAAAAGCATAGTAAAAAAGTAGAGAAAATAATTTTCTTTCCAAAAAAAAAAAAGAACAGACAAAAAAAGAAAAAGAGAATGTTCTCTGAACAAAAAGGATCAAAAAAACCTAAAAAATAGAGGGGGGAAGTAAAAAATTCTGTAAAGAAAAAGAACAAAAAAATGCAAAAAAAGGAAAAAAAAATTGGTTACAAAAGTGTTTTGCAGAACAACGAATCAGAAGAGATCTGCAAATCACTGGAAGAGAAAACAAAAGTAAACCAAAAATAAAAACCGAAACATAACCCATAAGATTAACTCATATATTACATAACAAACCGAAACAAAGCCCCAAAAAATCTCGAAGGAAAATTTTTTTAGGAAAAGAACCCTAAAAAACTAAAAATACCCACACGGCAAAAAAGTGGAGAAACAACAAAAATTTTCAAAGAAAAACCTATAAAATGGGGAAAATGAAGAGGACATGCGAAGCATAAGAACGCATGAACCAAAGAAAAAAGGAATCGTAGAACAAATCCGTAAATTACTGGAAGAAAGAACAAAAGTTAACAAAAAAAAAGTAGATTCGAAGAGAAAATCCCTAAAACCGCAAATCACTGGAAGATTAATAAAATTTCCAGAGAAAGGAAAACCTAGAAACTCCACCGGAACATAACTCATAAGATTAACTCATATATTACATAACAAACCGAAACAAAGGCCCAAAAAAGCTGAAAGGGGAATTGTTTTTAGAAAATGAACCCTAAAAAACTAAAAATACCCAGACACCAAAAAAGTGGAGAAATAACAAAAAATTCAAAGATAAGGCCAGGAACATAAAATGGAGAAAACGAAGAAGACGTGTGAAGCAGAAGAACGCATGAACAAAAGAAAAAATGAATCATAGAACAAATCCACAAATGACTAAAAAAATAACAAAAGTTAACCAAAAAGAAAAACAAAACAACATATTCGAAGAGGAAAACCCTAAAATCACAAATCACTGGAACAAAGAACAAAAGTAAACCAAAAACAAAAATAAAAAAACACATTCGAAGAGGAAAACCTTAAAAATCAAAGAATACCCAAATGACCCAAAAAAATTGATAAAATTTCCAGAGAGAAGAAAACTTACAAACTCGACCGAAACAGAACCCGTAACATTAACTCGTATATTACATAACAAATCGAAACAAAGCCCCAAAAAATCTCAAACAAAATTTTTTTATAGAAAAAGAACCCTAAAAAACTAAAAATACCCAGACCGCGAAAAATGGAGAAGAAACAAACATTTTCAAAGAGAAGCCGAGACAACAAAAATTGAGAAAGAGAAACCCAGAAACATAAAATGGGGAAAAGCATGGAGAACGATATTAATCCCAGAAACCTCACAAAGAGCAAGTGAGAGAAAAAGGGAAAAAATAAATGGAGTGAAGTGAAGAAGCCAGAACGTGCGCAATGAGAAAAGAAAGGCAGAAACCTCACGAATAGCAAGAGAGAGAAAAAGAGTAAACCGAAGGATAAGACAAAAAACTCAAACAAAAATGAAAAAAAAAATAACAAATGAAGGATAAAATGGTAAAAATAGCTAAAATGACATAGACAGTATAAAAAAAGGCTTCAACAAAAAGAAATAGAAGCAAAATCGATATCACTATTCTTAAATAGTAATTTGATGCGTTTAGTAGTATGTATAATAACTCTCAACCCAAGAGAAGGAAAAAACTCTTACTACTACTAATAATAATAACCCATAATAATAATAATAATAATAATAATAGTAGTAGTGATAATGATAATATAATAATAATAATAATAATAATTAAAAAACTGTCAACTCTTGGTGCGGCTTCATAAAAAAAAAAAACAAAAATAAAAAAGAAACAAAAAACAAAAAACTCTTGGTGCTGCTGGGCAAAACTAGAAAAACACTTTCAGGATCGAGGCTTTGGTTCGTTGTCTACATGATTTATCCTGAACAGGTTTGGGTCGTCGTTTCTTTTGGCGCCGTATACAACAACAACAACCAACCAAAATTCATGTCGGTGAATGCCCAGAAACAACAACGAGCTCCACACCCTGGTGAGAACACAACTATACTGTTTGTATTTCCTTCACTGAAAATCTCTGTATTTCTGGTTTAACCCCTAATCTCGTACCCAATGTAGAGATTTTCAAAATCCTCAGTCCCTGAGCGATCAAAGGTTTTCTGTGACCGTTATCTGATATGGGTTTCCGTTTTTTTTTTTAAAGATTATTATGGCTGATCTACTTTGTCGTTTGATTATTCGGATGGATCATGTTGGTACAAGCAATTTAATCACGAAGTACTAATTTGATTGAAAAAATTTTGATTGTTTTGGTCTTCCCTTCTTCCTTTGTTCGTCTGCCGTAATTCAAGAGAGGAGGGTTATTATAAACAGCCATGGTGAAAAGCTTGTGGGGATATTACATGATACAGGTTCAAAAGAGCTTGTTATAATCTGTCATGGCATACATTCCTCGAAGGTTTGTTCTTTATTACCTCTTGCATTGAAATTCTTACTTATTGGAAGGTTTCTTTTAATTTTTCCATTTTAATCGTTTGTTGTTTTGGCCTCATTTTCGAATAACCGTGTTTGATTTGATACTTGTAAACGATAAAATATGCAGAAAATCAATATATTGGGCAAAATGATTTTTGTGAAATGTGATGATCGAGTTTTCTTCTAAAAAAAAAAATAACATCCTTATATTTGCAATATTAACTTCTTCAGAATCCTTACTGAAAAAAAGAAAAAAAAAAAAAAGATCTTCTGAATCTATTTACCGTGACCTTATCATGCAATATGGCTCCAAAAACTATGTTTTCTTATGTTGAGAAATGGCATCATGGATCTTTTCATCTCTAGGAACGCATCCCTATGGTGAACCTTGCTGCTGCGTTGGAGAAAGAAGGAATCAGTGCCTTCCGTTTCGACTTTCCTGGGAATGGGTAAGCTCTTTGCAATCTAAGAAAAGATTGGCATGTGAGTGAATTGTAAAAAGGGAAGCAGTCATCGGATTGCTTTCGGGCAAATTTTGATCGAACTTATCATACTTTGGGGAGCTAAGTTACTATATAATTCTGAAAGATTATCATGTAGGACTCATGTCACCTATGCTCTGGAACTGGATGTGTAAAAGAAAATTATATGTCGATGAATGCGTCGCTTGACTTGCTTAATCTGTTTAATTCAGAAGCCAGCAATCTGAATGCTGTCTCTGTATATATCTACTGCATTGTTGAAAGCAACACAAATTGATTGATGCCTTTTTCTTTTTTTTTTTGTTTTTTGTCTCTGTCTTTGTTTTTTTTGTTTTTTGTTTTTTTTTTTTTGTTTTTTTGTTTTTAATGAAGAACTTCTGATGTTTTTTCTCTCAGGGAAAGTGAAGGTTCATTTCAATATGGTAACTATCGAAGAGAGGCCGATGATCTACGTGATGTAGTTCAGCACTTCCGCAGGGCAAATCGTACAATTACTGCAATTGTTGGCCACAGCAAAGGTATATCTGCGCTTTATGTTGTTCTAAATTTCAATCACGTACTAGTTATACTATTGTGGATAAAGAATAAAAGAATATCTTGAGACATGTAAACTTGAATATACAACAATCCAGTGGAGGTAGGTGCCATTGCCACTCATTCTATCTGACTATTTCTTCGGCCAATATTACCCGCTTTATACATTTTTTAACATATCGTTCTTAGTGCTAATGATGGCACAAGCCCCCTAATTGTTCATCTATGATTGTAACTTGTGGATCTTTTTGTAGGTGGAAACGCGGTGGTTTTGTATGCTGGAAAATATAAGGACGTTCATACAGTCGTCAATATTTCTGGACGGTTTGATCTGGAAAGAGGTATGGAGGGTCGCTTGGGTAAAGACTTCCGACAAAGAATCAAGCAAGATGGATATATTGACGTTAAGAACAAAAGGGGTAAGCTTATCAGTTTTATTTAGCTTAATATTCCATCTTTAACAGGTCAGAATTTTGTTATTCTGTGTCTAGGATATAAATTTTCTTTATGTTAATTTCAAGTCAACTTATAAACCCGATCTGCTAATAACTCCTTGTAGAGTGCTCCTTGTAATATCATGATGAATCTAATCTTTGTTCATTTATTGAGTCAACTTATTTTTACTTGTTAGTAGTTAGCAGACACTAGCTTATTGTTTTCTTTCCTTTCGTAGGGAAGTTTCTGTATCGAGTGACTGAAGAAAGTTTGATGGACCGCCTAACTACGGATGTGCAAGGGACCTGCAAAACAATTGATCAAAACTGCAGGTTAGATTTCACTCAATAGGAGTCTTGATTTTGACACATAATTCTCCTCTTTCAATCCTAATGTCAGTAGTGGGATATGCCTGGTCCATTAAACCGCTATCCAAGCGTTTTGAACGTATTTCTTCTATTGAGTCTTGCGAATTCTGTTACTTGCAGGGTATTGACAGTTCATGGAACAAGGGATCAAATGGTACCAGTTGAAGATGCTTTTGAGTTTAACAAGTTCATTTCTAATCATAAAATATGTGTTATAGAAGGAGCTGATCATGAATACACCTCTCATCAGGATGAGTTGGCCTGCACTGTGTTAGATTTCATTAGCGCAGATTTTCCCAAGGATCAAAATGCATCAATAAAAGGCGATAGTAATGTCCATTCACGATTATAATTGTTCTGTAATTGCAGTAATTCTTGTCAGGAATGAAAACGTTCCAAAGCACAAGTGCAAATAGCCTCTTCTGCGTAATAATGTCTCTAGCCTTACTAAATAATGCAAGCTCATTACAGTGGGTCTTCCAAAAAAACCCAAAAATAACTTCAATCCAGGAGAGAGAGAGAGAGAGAGAGAGAGAGAGAGTGTGTGTGTGTGTGTGTGTGTGTGTGTGTGAGTTTCTTTGAAAGTACAAGTTCCTTGCATGATTGAGATGTTAAACTTCCATGATACATTGGCGATATGTTAAACTTCCATGATACATTGGCGATATATTGGAGTACAACAGGGTCAGACCATGGCCAAACACCTCCCAACACATTTGTTTCTCACGTCCTGTTTTGGAGCCGGCACTAAACTAAACATACATTTCATCTCAGACACAAAACTGACTAACTGCGGGTATTTATAATTGAACAACTGACTGGTCATTTTTACGATTGCAGCAGAGCAATCACAGAGCACATTTTATATAGGCTAAACAAATCCTATAGATTTAGAAGAAAGAGAGGTGGGAAGATGACAAAGACTTCAAATGTCCTCTTGTATCTACACTCAACTAGGCAGCAACAGTCTTTGGTTTAACTCCAATTTTTTTCCATGAAACACTGGGCATTATCTGCTTTGTGTCAACACGATCCTTGTACTTAATAGCAAAGTTGAGCAAAGAATCAAGAAGAGAGTCTGAGAGTAGGTGCGGCTTAAGTCCCAACTCGATGAGTTTTGTGCGCTTGGCGTTGTAATAATGCTCCTCGGCTTCTACTCTTGGATTTGGCACGGAGATGGTCTTCACTTCGATCCCAAGCTTGTTTCCAGCTTTTGTAACAAGGGCCGCAAGTTCATTGACAGAGAACTGCTCGGTGAATTGGTTGAAGACCCGAAACTCTCCTGGCTTAGCTGGCTTTGCAATGGCAAGCTCAACACATTGAACTGTATCTCTTATGTCAAGATATCCCCGGGTCTGGATACACCATGAAGATAAATGTTAGTAACGGATGCTTTTAAATAGGAATAAGATTAATGAGACAAAACTCACTCACTTGCGTTCAGACCAAAAAGCTGAGACAATGTGTAAATAGAATTAAAATAAACAAGGAACCTAAATGTCCTGAACCCCCATCTATTAGATTTCTGCTGAATTGATATGATAAATTTAAACCTTCAAAGACTATGGTATGTGGAAAATTGCTTGTTATGCCTAGAAGCATGAAAGTAAATAATTTGTATCTCAAAATGTAGGTATTATAACCATCCAATGTGTCTTGTTATAGCAGCAACTGATTCCCCGCAATCTTAGAAACTATCTTTTAACTCAAGTAGATATGTCGTGTATTGTGCATGTAAACATGTCAAGTGGAAGGTGTTTTACCTGGCCTCCCTTGCCGTACACAGTGAGTGGATGACCAACAGCAGCCTGAACACAGAACCGATTCAATGCGGTCCCAAACACACCGTCGTAATCAAGCCTGTTGCATAGCTCTTCATGAATATCAGTTTCCTCTGTTTTAACCCCGTAAACCACTCCTTGGTTTAGGTCAGTGGCTCTGATCCCCCAAGCCTTGCAAGTGAAGGCTATATTATTCGAATCATGAACCTTACTCAGATGATAGAATGAGCTTGCTTGCTTTGGATATGGCAAAGTATCTGTTCTTCCATTATGAGTAATGGTAATGTAACCCTCTTCAATGTCAATATTTGGAGTCCCGTATTCTCCCATTGTCCCAAGCTTCACCAGATGACACTCCTCTCTAAATTCTTTTATGGCAAAGAGCACATTCAATGTTCCAATTACATTGTTGTGCTGCGTAAACACAGCTCTTGACCGATCAATCATCGAGTAAGGGGCAGACCGCTGTTCCCCAAAATGAACAACAGCATCAGGCTCAAATGACTTGAAGGATTCTGATAAGAACTCAAAGTCACAGATATCACCAATGTAGAGCTCAATAGTCTTTCCGGTGAGGGATTTCCAGCAGCGGAGGCGGTTGTGGATGGAGGCAATTGGAGTCAGAGAGTCCAGACTGAGCTGGTGGTCAAAGAGGCGGCGAACAAGGCTGTCAACAATGGCAACCTCATAACCTTTCTTGGATAGGTGGAGGGCAGTGGCCCAACCACAGTAGCCATCACCACCAATGACCATAACCCTTTGTGATTTGGAGGGTTCACTTGAAATCTGGTCAAAACCAGTGCCGGGATTCTTCGAGGCTTCTCGACTTGAAGAGATAGTAGTTGCCTGCACAATGCAGTTTCTACCACCAGACCTTTCCCCGGACAAAACAAGATTTCTAAATGGAGATTTGGAAGTTTGGAAAGGAAAAGAGGCAGGAAATGATGCTACTGATACTGAATCCTGGGTTAATCTGGAGTGGGGTTTACAGCCAGAAGGAATCTTAAGATTGCAGGAAGTTGAAAGCAAATGTGCCATATCAAATGTTCAGAAGTTATGGCAGCAAACACAAACACCTGAAAAAGATTATCAAATGGGTGAAATCATAAAACTAAAAAATTCATCTTGAATATTTGGCGTTACAACTTTTGTACATATACAATACAAGCTACCTCTATCTAAAAAAATGGCTCAAAAATCATGGATATAAGTTCCGAGAGTCCAGGAACAAATCAATGAAAGCAAGAATTATAACAAACCAAACAACAATCCCATGTGCTCAAATGATTAACACTAGTAATAGATTATAATATGCTTATATTTATCACTGAATCACTTCCATATTCACAAAATTTACAACCCAAATGACAGAAAAGAAGAAAGTCAAATATTCGAGACTACGAGAAGTTAATGCTTGGCTGGTCGGAACTGGCACAAACAAGTTGTAAGAGTAACAAAACAGAAAACATAACATATTAAATTCGTTTGTAAGACTTCCAATGATTCTTTCCGAAATAAATAAGAGCCCCAAAACAAATAATAATAGGATTTTAACTCAGAGATAAATATCACCTGAAGAGGTTCAGTGAAGGTTGAAGAAAATGGCGACGTGTGTAAATAATCCAGGAAAAAGAGGAGGATATATATATATATATATATATAGAGAGAGAGAGAGAGAGAGAGAGAGAGAGAGAGAAGTGGAGATTTTGGGTTTAGAAGGAGCGAGACTAGTGAGATCAAACGAGTATATTGATTGGGTATATCCTTTGTTCGGATTTTATCCTCTCAAATACGACAAGTCGGGGCACCAACTCACCCGTAGGCTCCTATTAATCCATCTTTTTCTTATTTCTTTTCCTTTTTTTATATTAATTCAGACTAATATTTCCTTTTTTTTCTTTTTAATAAAAACCTGTGTCTATTATGTATATTTATATGTGATTGAAATGGGTAGAAATGTTGCGATCGAAAAAAAAATAAAATAGAGTAAATGTTTCAAATAGGAACTTCTCTTTCATTTTCTTTTTTTTTACTTGGAGAAACATGCTGGTCGATGGATTGAAATAATAAATGAATAATAGGTGAACAAAAGCTTTCTTTTTTAGGATATAAAGAAAAAACATGTTTTGCTGCCCGGAAGAAACGATGTACACTCCCGATAAACTATAGAGAAACGACGTGTACTTTTCGTTATGAAGGTTTGCGATTGTCTCGGCAGGTTACGACACCTTATTTTCCGGACGTAATTCTTTTGTCAAATCTTTTTTACTTTATAAAGTTTATGAATTTCTTTTTCCTTTCATTAAACCTACCTGTTATTTGCTTTTACAGATTTTTTACAATAAAAGACGTAATTTCATTTTTTAAAAAAAAGTGACTTGTCATTTATTGTTTCAATTTCGAGGCCCTACAATTCAAAAAAAAAAAAAAAAAAGAAGAGAGAGAAATGATAATAATAAAATAAATAAAAGCATTGAGACTGATGAGCAAATAATAATAATAATAAAGTATTGAGACGTGATTATCTATATGAAGTTTCAGATATCATTTATTAGTTTCATTGTCAAGAATTCTAAAATAAAAAAATAAAAAAATAAAACTCATTGGATAATTTGCAAAGAAGAAATAAGTTTTGAGGGTAAAATGACACAACGATCGCAATTCAAAGACTAATGTTATATTGTTATTCACCCTAATTAGGTGATGTTTAGCTTATAAGTTTGAATCAAAATTTTAATTTTTATGGGAAAAGGATATTTATTATAACAAAAAGGTTTGAACCAACCACGAAAAAAAAGAGACTTTAGTCCTTTTAGATCATCTCTAATGTAAATATTAATACTAATTATATATTTATCATTAAAAATTGTAATATGATATGTTATTTTTATTTTTACTCCAATGTATAATGCTATTTGAAATGTTAAATATACTTTTTCTTATAATTATTAAATTTTGAAAGTTGTAAAAGTAAGTTTTTATGTTTAAAATAATTAAAAAATGTAAAAGTTGTATTGATTACGTGAAAAAGTAAATATTTTTCAACCAATAGCAATTAAATATTAAATTTCTCATATGCTATACTTGGTGAGAAATTTGTCACAACAAATAGCATTGCATTAGAAAGTATTTTTTTTTTACTCAAATGCTAAATTTATAATTGGCACATCAATTATAGCATTGTATTAGAAATATTCTTAAAAGGTAAGAATGGATCTGCATGTAACATGGGAAAAATGCTAGGGACCCAATCGAGGGGGAAAAATAGCAATAAAAATTAAAACACACACTTGACATTCATGGGTCCGTTGAATTTCTTTGCAAGAGTAAAATGAGTAAGGGTCCGTTTAATATGTTGATTCGAGTGTTTAATTTGAATTTAGACGTGACTTTATGTGAAAACTTTTTACTGTAACAAAAAAGTTAGATGTGACTGTTTCTGAGAGTTTTTTACTGTAATAAAACTCAAATCGGTGAAATAAACGGAGCCTAAATATATTAACACTTTCTATGTTAATAGGGAAATTTTACTGCGCATCTCCTATTTATGACCCACCGATAGAATAAGTGGTTTTGACAATTGTATTAAATTTTAACAGTTAAATCTATATAAATTCGTATTAAAAATTTATATTACGCCACACCGAATTATTCTTACTACATATTTGATTTGAAAAACTAATCTAATAGTAAAAATACGTACTCCATCATTAGAAGCATAGAAAAGCCATTTTATTAGCGTTTTCCAGCCACTCTGAAGCAATATATTTTGTTTTTGTTTTTGTTTTTTTTTTCCTTTACTTCGCAATTGCATCAATATATTTGACTTAGTTCAATGATAGCATCCCACTCCCAGGCCCCTTTGCATATAAAAGAAAATAGCAAAAAAAAACATATCAAACTACCGGTCCTTTTAAAAACAATACAATTTCTCAAGTTAAACATATTTATAAGTATGATTAATTTTTAATCTTTAGATATGATTAAAATTATATTATATTAAAAAAATATTTAAAATAAATAATTTTATATTTAAATTTAACAGTTTAAAATATAACTTATTGATAAGTCATCCTACCAAGAAACTCCCAACAAAAAAAAAAAAAAAAAAAAAAAAAACTAATGTTTCAACATTCCTTATTTTTCTATGCACCCACTAGTTGGATCTAATTAAAAAAAAAAAAGATAATAATAACTAAAAAAGGAAGAAAGAAAATGAAACCGGATATTTCCTCCAAGGTACACAATATATAAGTAGACTTGACAGCTTATTCATCAGAAAACCATGGTGGTATGACAGCTAAGATTTTAAAACTTAGAGAAATTATAATCATTTTTTATTTACCCACAAAATACAATATTTTATAAAGAAAAAATCTATTACAAAGATTGCACATAGCCACATATTCCTCGTGTGGTGGCCTTTAAAATTATAAAATTTAAACTACTTCCAAGTTTTTGTCCACAAATTAATCCATAAGAAGAAATTATTCCACATAAAGATAGATTTATTATCAGGTTCGCCTATAGTTTTGGGTATGTAATAGTATATTTGCATTTAGTTATGCTCTATTTTATGTAAGAATTTGATACTTTATTAATACATTGACTTCTTTTTTAAGGAATTAAGACATTAATTTCTTATAGGATCTTTTTTTTTAATAAAAAAAATAAAGACATATCAGTTATCACTATCCTCTTTATATATGTGTATATAGTTATAGATCCCCTAAAGCATAGCTTTTTTCTAACGACTTTCCCTCTAATTGTTTGTTCTTTTTTATAACCATCTCTAATTATACGAATTGGAATTTCATAAGTTGATGAAGAAAACGGAAAGCTTTATTGTTATTATCATCATACCAAAACAATTAAATGTCAAAAAATAAGTATCTTTTCCGGAAAAAAAAAAACGAATATTTCGTAGAATATTCCTTGTTTTCTATTTTTTTTTTTTTTTGTTTTCTCAAAGGATAGTCCCTGGCTGTGTTTTGCTTGTGCTAAGAAAAAGATTAACAAAAAAGAGAATGAAAAGGAAGCAGCAAAGTCAAAACTCATGACCCTAACTAGCCGGAGGATTTTCAGCAGGAAAAGCAGGAAATAAAAGAAGGAGAAAATTGTTAAACTTAATTTTGTAGTATATAGGTCTTGATTTTTATCATTTATTTTTAATTAATATGATTGTTTAATTTAAAAAATATTAATTAAGAATAATAAATACAAATTTATATCCATGTATTCTAATAAATATTTGTCTCATTTTCTAAAAAGAGAACAAAGGACAAGCGACACTAACCAAATAATGAAAGGTTCATATAAAAAAATAAAAAAATAAAAATCCCAAAAAATGAAAGGTAATCCCAGACAAGAGAACGTTAGAAAAAGAAAATCATTGTCGTTGAGGACAAAAAAGATAAAAATAAAATAAAATAAAAAATCAAACTCTTAAAAAATCTCTTTAAAAAAAAAATTAAAATTCAGTGGCGCTTCTTCCTGCCAAGCTGTAACACTATCCCACATCCCAAAAGGCCACATCCCCTGATAACCAAACACCCCAAATCACAAACCCATTCCTCTTCTTCTCTCTACAAAATACAAATACACTCTCTTGCCTATCAGTACACTCTTCACAAGCACCATCTTCCTTTCTCACCCCAGAAACGAGGATAGAGAGAGAGAGAGAGAGACGAGAAAAAAAAAAGTCATTTTTTCCCTTTTTTCTCTCTCAGATCTCTGTATAGCTCCAATGGCAGAGCCAAGGAAGTACATTTCCCAGGAAGAGCTCGGGAAGCACAAGAAGCCAGGAGATCTCTGGATCTCCATCCAGGGAAAGATCTACAATGTCTCCGACTGGGCCCACACCCACCCCGGCGGCGAGCATCCATTGCTCAACCTCGCTGGCCAAGACGCCACCGATGCCTTTGTCGCCTACCACCCCGGAAAAGCCTGGCAATATCTCGACCAGTTCTTCACCGGCTACTATCTCAGAGACTACTCCGTCTCCGAGGCCTCCAAGGACTACAGAAAGCTCGTCCACGAGTTCTCCAAAATGGGTCTCTTCGACAAGAAGGGGCACGTCACTTTCCTCACCTTCTGTTTGATCGCAATGTTGTTCGCTATCAGCGTTTATGGCGTGCTGTTTTCCGAAAGCGTTTGGGTTCATTTGCTTTCCGGCGGGTTGATGGGGTTTTTGTGGATCCAGAGTGGGTGGATTGGCCACGACTCGGGTCATTACCAGGTCATGACGAGCCGTGGATTCAACCGGTTTGCGCAGATCCTGACCGGAAACTGCCTCGCCGGAATCAGCATTGGGTGGTGGAAGTGGAACCACAATGCGCACCACATCGCTTGCAACAGCCTCGACTTCGACCCGGATCTTCAGCACATGCCTGTCTTCGTGGTATCTTCGAAATTCTTCGATTCCCTCACGTCTTGTTTCTACGAAAGGAGGATGAATTTCGATTCCTTCGCTAGGTTTCTTGTTAGTTACCAGCATTTGACTTTTTACCCGGTGATGTGTTTGGCTAGGATTAATCTATTTGCTCAGTCGTTTGCTTTGTTGCTCTCTAAGAGAAAAGTGCCCAATAGGGGTCAGGAGATTCTAGGCATTGTTATGTTCTGGATTTGGTATCCTCTGCTTGTTTCTCGCTTGCCCAATTGGAGCGAGAGGATTATGTTTGTTGTTGCCAGTTTCTCCGTTACCGGAATTCAACATATCCAGTTCTGTTTGAACCATTTTTCTTCACGTGTTTATGTTGGCCCTCCGAGTGGAAACGACTGGTTTGAGAAGCAGACTCATGGGACTCTTGATATATCTTGTTCTTCTTGGATGGATTGGTTCCATGGAGGCTTGCAGTTTCAGGTTGCGCACCACCTGTTTCCCAGATTGCCCCGTTGCCAGCTCAGGAAAGTCTCTCCCTTTGTTAAGGAGCTCTGCAAAAAGCACAACTTGCCTTACAATTGCGCGTCTTTCTGGAAGGCGAATGCCATGACGCTGAGCACGCTCAGGACTGCCGCTTTGCAGGCTCGTGATCTTTCTAACCCGGTCCCGAGGAATTTAGTCTGGGAAGCTGTTAATACGCATGGATGATCAGGAGGGATTATGTTATTAATCTTGTGAAACCAGCCTTCTGAGGTTTCGATTTTCTTTGCCTAGGACCTTAAAATGATGTTCAAGTTGGTATTTTGATTGATGTCTGAGGAAGGACATCAGTGATTTTCTTAATGAAGAAATAATAATCATCTTTGCAAATGCTTTGGAGGATTCAACTGCTTATTCTTCCTTCTTTAAGTTTGTCGAATCGGCTTGTGTCCTTTTTTGTAATAGGTGACGTACCATTCATACTGATCGTCTTCAGATCGGTATAGCTTATCCTTTCCTTTGTCTAAAATTTGCCGCATGTAAAGTACTGTAGTTCCCTTTTAGTTTGCTTTTGGATGCTTCAAGTTCAATCCTTTTAGGGGCTTTGGGCCTCCTCTCTTGATATTGTGTTTGGAATTCGTTTTTGTTTGAGACTTGAGATCAGCGGAAGTAAACCTTTCATAGTTTCTGTTTATTTGGAATATGGTTTTGCTTTATCTGATTTGTTGGATTTGTTAGACCTAATATTTGTGTCATAGATATCTCGTTTCTGCATAATAGAACAGCTTTCGTTTGGACCATGAATTTGTTGCAGCATCTCCTGATCCTATAAGATTGTAATTTGCAGTGTAGCAATAAAGTCAGTAATGCCATCTGCCTATATTTCACTGTTTACTGTGTTGTCAAGAACTTGGTCATAGGTACAAGGCACAGGGGAAGAGCCAAAAAGCTGACCATTTGACAATGAAAAGGGAAGGAATTACAGGCAAATCATTTGTGAGATCACTTCATAGGCACAGCTCCTCTAATTTCAAACGACTTAAGAAATATTAGGAATCAAAGAGTCTTGGTGCTATGTTGTGTTCCAAACATAGCTCTTAACAGACAACCAACAATTTACTCTACTTTGGTTCTCTATACTTTTATTTTGGCATATTAATCTTTAAACTTTATTTTTTCTTTTTTTATTAATTTTCGTCCCTGAAAATAAAATTGACAATAGATTTTTATAATTTAACAAATAAAATTTTGTGTCTAATAATTTGAAATTTTATAGAAAGATTTAGAGTATATGTAAAGTTTTTATTATGCGATAAGAATGTAATTATATATATTAACAAAAATCGTTAATCAATTTTAATGCTAAGGAATAAAACTGCAAAATAAAAAATAAAAAATAAAAAAAAGAAGTTTAGGAATTAAAATGTCACAATACTCGTGGTTAGATTATTATCTATTATCATTATTATTTTTTGGGTAGTGAGATAAGTCCCATGTAAGGTCTATCAGAAACCAATGATTAATTCTTTCTTTTTTATGGCAAATACCAATGATTAATTCGTCGAATCATGATCGAGTATTCCACATGTGTGCAGTTAAGTAGATACTCTTTGTGTGTGGGTTGCTAAAACGAAGATACTTTCTTGCATAGTCATTAGGTTGCTAAAATAAAAAATAATATTTTTCTTTATTTAAGGGTCAAACTTTTTAAGCTATCACTTTCTTGTAAAATGACTGAGCCATCATCCGATTAATTTACATTAAACTAGTACGATATCATGTGGCCGGCTGACCGCATGCAAAAGACCTACTCACCGTCCATTAGCATACTCAAATCAGTTTAAAAACTGTCCCGCTCTCTCAATCAATCATTTTCACAGTCTCTGCGTCCTTCTCCACAATCATCGCTAATCATATTCCATTGAAACCCGAACCTTTTCCACCCAAGAAAATCAAGAAGTACAAAAATAAAATTTTACGAGACATTTAGGCTTCGTTTGGTATAAGGATTGAAATCAGGGTGATTTGAGTCATTTGATTCAAATTCATGATTCATGATTTAAATCATGATTCAGAGTGATCAGAACCTTCATTTGGATTTATATATGCATAATTCTGATTCTAACCTGAAATGTGATTCGAACCAGTGTTTAGTTGTCTTATTTTCTGAATTTAAATCATGACCAAAATAAATATAATTTAAAAAATTATATAATAAATATAAATCGTTACGTGTAATTTTAAAAAAAATATAATTCGTCGTATAATTAAAAAAATAAAGTATTAGAAAAAAATTATGCAAATAATTATAACTCAAAATTATAACAAGCTAAGTGAGAAATATATGAAAAAAATGTGAATTAAAAATAAATGCCAAACATAACTTGCCACCCACGAGCAACAATTTATAACAAGCCAATTAGTAGAAAAAAATTTGCCACATCAAATACGAGAACAATTATATAACAAGCCAATGAGAAAAATTCTCACCCGCATGTCAAATCACCATGTCAAATCACCTTTTTTTTTTACTGTTCATGGGGTTTCAAACGGGTGAATCAGGGGGGGCCTGATTTCAAAATCAGGCCCCAAAATGATCCCAATCACTTTTCTGATCCCATATTTTACTGTTCATTTTTTTCTTTCTAAGCACTGATTTGACCTTAATCAGGAGATTTAAATCCCTCAATCCCCCAACCAAACATGCACTTAATTTATGAATTAAAAATTTTAATTTATAATTATAATTTTTAAAATTTAAATTTTTTATAAAAAAAAAATACTGGAAAAAATTTAAAATTATAATTCAAAATTAAAAACAAATCCTTAAAAGAAACATTCCAGCAGAGACTACAATGAGTAACCATGACGAAGAGCAAAGAGGACCTCCACCCAAAGCATGTTGCGCGTGCAGACACCAACATAAAAAATGCGAACCCGGCCGTCCTTTCTTGCGGTACTTCCCGCCCGGCGCTGAAAATTCATGGCTTTACTCGATAAAGGAGCACGGAGCAATAAACATGATACCGCGGCCAGCCTTATCTATGAAGCCCTCGTCTGCGCCAAAGATCCCTCCGGTGGCTGCGTCCCGCGAAATCTTGTGATGGCAGAAAAAACTCGGATTCTCCGAAGCCAAACTCAAAGACGTGACCCGCCAACTCGAGCTCTATAGGCAAGTCTATGGCAATATTGCTACTACTCATCACGTGCAAGCGGAAATCATCAATCCGATATCGTTTGGAGGACTGGCTCAAAACAGTTCTCGGGGAAACTATACTAATAATGATAATAATGTTATTGTTGGGAGCGATCATGAGATTATGCAGCAGAATTTTCAAGATAATTCTCTTCTTGAGTTGAATCTACAATATCCTTTTTATCAGCAACAACAGAATCTTGAAGTTCAGGACAATAACTACCAAAATGGCGTCGGTCGTTCGGAAATCAATCCGGCGTCGTCTAGAGGATTCGCTCAAAACAGTTCTCAAAGAAATTTTACTAATAATGTCATTGAAGATAATCCTCGTCTTGAATTAGGTGTGCAATATCTTCCTGCTCGGCAATAGCAGAATCTTTTCAAGTTCAAGATAATAATTACCAAAATGATGGGGTCCTGCTCCTACTCCTATGGAGGTTTACTTTCCAACGCCAGTATCTTCGTCATCTTCACTTCCTGCTTTAGATATGGACGCACTTGAGAAACCGTTAGCTCTGATTTTACGTCGGGTGTCACAGATAGTGTTGAGAACACTGGTTGATTAATTAAGTTCCGGATTAATTATGTTCAGTTTCTTGAGTAAAATAAAATGTAAGAATAAAAAGAACACGCAATATGGTATCACAGTTCAGTGCACTCACTTATATTTGTGGGGTCACGCCCATACAGTAAATAGTTCATTACGTTCCAAAAATTACAGACATTAATGGACTTATTCACACAGGCCCTTCTAGACAATGAAGTCACTGTGACAAATCTCTATAGTAATGTTATTTAATGTGCACCACACGTCTTCTATTCACTTAGCGAACTCCCTTCGATTATCAGAGCTTCCTCTCGAAGGTAACAAACTTCTCTCACTAAAAGCTATTTCTCTGAAAAAGCTCTTAGACTCACAGATTTTTTCTCTAGATATTTTCTCTATTAAATCCGTATACTTTGTGAGTAGAAATAAGAACTTTAAATAGAACAACTAATGCCTCTCAGAGAAGATGGAAATTAAATCGAGTGTGAGCTAGAGCAGGACAGGAAGGGGTGCTGATTCACCGTCTTTGATATTCTTCAGTAAATCAACTTCGTTAAAAAAAAAAAAAAAATGGTAAGGAATAGACGTGACTGTAAAAAGATTTTTCTTTTTTCTTTTTTTCCCTGATACATGTAAATCAGTTACATGCTATGAGCTCTCTATGTGTTGTAGATATTTTTCTTTTTTCGTTTTTTCCCTGATACATGTCAATCAATTACATCTTATGAGCTCTGTATGTGTTGTGGATATCAAACATTGAAATCAAGAATATATAACGAAATACTACCTTTTCTTTTAACCAATTTTTATTAAGTAGCAGGTGTGAGTATGTGACACGTTGTTCTTCTCAAAATGTCTAAAATTGTGAAACTATTATGTTTTGTAATATTACTTTGATGTTAAGAAGTGAAAAACTGAATTTTCGAATTAACATATTCCGCTTTTGTTTTTTTTGTTTTTTTTTTCGTAGTTAGGAAAAACAGAAAAGTGTTTTTAAGCTAAATGGCCAAACAACCTTTATAGTTTTCCCATTTTATTTTCCTGTTATTTTTAGTTTGCTTGTCGTTCATGAAATTGCTCCC